TTCTGCAAGTCGTCTTACAACAAACCACACATCTGCATAAATCTCATCCACTGCTACAGTATCTGCATTCTCATGGCGATTTTGCATTTATTAATTTTCCTGCTCCACCACAGGTTGGTTCGCCAACTAATGATGAACACAGCACAAGAGTGAATTGCAGAAACATGGGCAGTAATTCAAGAGGTGTGGAAATTTTCAACTTCTACACAGTGACTTTAAGCTTCTGTCTTGAAACCTTCTGAAAGATGGGATCAGATACTCACCGTAGTACATCATCATGTGTGTCACCTCCTTCCCAATGCCCTTGCTTCTGTAACTGGGCTCTGTAGAGAACAAGGGGCATATATTGTCCAGAGATAAAGAGATATACACAGGAAATGACTAAGATGTACAAACCACAGCACAGTCTGATTGTAGATATTTGCTGAGCCTTTGATTTTGAATCGCTTTTAAGATAAGCACACTGGGCCTTACCTGCTATCATGATCTCCAGCTCAGCCGAGGAGAGGTCTGTTGGGTCCGTTAGGAACATGTTGACATCTCCCACCGTGCGCTGCTCCTCTTCTATACTAGTGATCTGCCCATAGCTGCTTATCCAAGATGATGAATGTGCACTCTGGAAAAAAAAATTTAAAAAGTCAAATTAAACAGCTTTTCTTTAAGTAAAAGTTGAATGATTTTACTAGTGCATGACCTCAGAAAGAGTGATGTCTTATTTTCATATCATATCCAGTGATTACCAGTTATTTATAAACACTTTAATCTAACAAATCTGATGGATGATGGTACAAATGTCCTTAAGGAATGATTTGGAAGGACAAAGGACAGAACTTGAAATATATGTTCATTATTGAGGTCATAGTTAAAGGTGGTTAAAGGAAAAAGAAAAGTTACAAGACATGTTTTAGGCTTTTAGGCAAAACTGTGGCTTATTTATTTAAAAAAATCTAAAAACCACTAATATTTAGTATGAATAAATCAAATAAATACTGTACAAACATTAATATAAGAATTTACAGTTTTCAGCTGCTTTGCCAAGACTAGCAACACAGCTTATCACACATTGTCAAATGTAGTTTATATCTAAGGAGAATCAGAGAAATAAAGGTGTCCAGTTAATGACATGAAGAAAATCTAAGTCTGGCAAGCCTTCAGATTTATAACAACTGCTTTAGAGGATGAATAAGAGCATGTTCTGTGTGCACATTTACTGCAGAAGTCTTACTGTTGTCTTCCCTCCAGCTCCTCTGCACGTATCATACTCCTGTTCCAGGTTCAGTGGCTCTGAGGCGGTCAGATACTGCAGCTCAGGACGCTTCATCATTCATGATACCTGAAGGGTGTAAACAGGTGGATAAGAGACAGGGACTGCAGGTTTCTACAGCTTTAACTTAATCATGTATCCAGATGCTAAAGGACTGGAGCTGGTTCTGCTGTGCCAGTTAGAGACTTCAAACTACCAAAGGATCAAAAGCTTGTACTGACAGCTGGGTCAGATGTGTCATCTGTCCTAAGTTATTTCTTCACCTTGTGTCAGCGTGGACCTCGAAAGCTCCAGAAAAGCTGGAACTTGGAAAATGGAACTTGTGATGAGACTGTTTTCTCAGTATTATGAGTCTTATTTAGAAGTCAAAATAAAACCCACCCACCATGTTTAAACGTTGATATATAAACAGGGGCATTGCTACTTTTACTCAAGGGCTTGAAAACTCCCAGCACTAAATCTATCCAGGATGATTTCCTGAGCATCTTTGTCCCATTTAAGGATGACATGCAACTGTTTATATTTTTTAAAAGACCCTGACAGAGGTTTTCTTTGGCAAGTAGGAGGCATGCAGTCTATAGTAAAATACATTAGAGAAGTTGGTGCTACAGTAGGTCTACACTTGGCTACTAGAATGAATCTGCAAGGAATTTCTTACAACCTGACCTTCAACTGAGAAACATCTTATTGGGAACACCAAAAACTACAAGTAATACAAAACCTTCAGAACTACACCATCACATCAAGTACAGCTACTCTGTACTCAGCTAGTTCAACATCTTTGTTTAAATAAAAACCTTCAGAACTACACCATCACATCAAATACAGCTACTCTGTACTCAACTAGTTCATCTTTGTTTAAATAAGATTGAGACAAGTGACAATTCAAAACAAGGTTCGATTTCCTTAGTACACATTTCAACATTTTTGTAACATGACATTACACTCGCACTACAAGTGTGTCAAGGAGACATTTCATAAAACAAAGTTCTGTGTGGAAAAACAAGTCTATGGACTATAAGCAAGATAGCCAAGTGGGACAGAAGCAGCCTGTTTAAGCATTAGCCAACCAGGTTTATATTTATATAAAAAACCCCTTTATGAAGACAATACCACACATTAACCAGGCAGTGCACAGTGCCCCTGTCAAGCACAAGAAAACTACAAAAAGCCAAGTTGCTGAACACCTCTAGCCTCTGCACTCCAGAATCGAGCAGCTTTATGGAAACACTGGATGTGCTCAAAGTAGAGAATGCATTCAGTGGATCCAAAAAGCTTACTATTCTACTCCAAGTGGTTGTTAGGTATACAAATCTTAACTTGTTAAACATTGACAAACCTAAAATGCATCACAAGATGATTTTAAATGTTTTATTTTAAAATGTCTGTACAACTGTTATAACATTGCACATTTTTACAGTGTAAACCAAAACACTTAAAGACCATGTTTTAGACTGGCCCCATCCAGCAGTGAATATAGCCATCACATTTTCACAGCCAACACTCTGACTTATAGTAGGAAGCTCAGGTGTTACCATTGGTCTTCATGACAAATACCTATATTGGCTTAGCTTTAAAAACACTAAAGTTCAAAAGCTTAAAAAAAATGCAGTAAAAGAAAATCAGTTCAAGGATTAAACTTCACACATTTCAAGAATTGCGCAGTTTGAACAATATTCCTTGAAAAAGGATAGACACTTGTTAAACCACAATGGCCACAAATCTGTTGACCTGTACAAGCAGATTAATGTCCCATGACATGCAAGAGTTGTCTTAGTTGGTCCTACTCTCCTGAGGCCCCTGCTTGTCCTTGGACTGAGGTCTCCCCCTCCTGTGCACCACTCTGACTGCAATCAGAGTCTTCTTCCTCATAATCCTCTTCCACATCAAGGGCAATGTCCCTCATTTCCCCCAGATTGTCTGGGCCCTTGCCAGTCAGCCTCTAATGAGAAAAGACATCAAGTTTACATTAAAAGGGTCAATTGAGGTGACTAAATGCAGTAAAAGTTTAATGATTAAGATAGCACAGCACTCATTAGCTAAATGCGACATTAACACAACAACTCTAGAAAGTGTGCAAGTGCCTATAGCAAGGTTTTAATTCAAACCAGGTAATAATCAGCATAGAACACTGATTAAAACAGTTTGTATACAAAGTCACATCACCACCATGATCATTTTTAGTGACAAATGACTAGCAATGCCAGTGTACCTACCTCAATCATATCAGCCATGTACTGTACGTGTTGTGCCAGCTCTTGCAGCTCTTCATTCTCACCCTTGAGCTTTGTTATCTGTTCATCTTTGGCCTCAATGTCTTTGTGCAACTGGTAAAAAAATAAATAAATAAAACAAACTCAAATTCAGTGCCAGCTGGACTGGTGCCAACTAATAGCGACTCAGTAGAAGCGTGGGAACAGCTCAAGTGTCAGCTAAACATTAACCACCTCTTAGTGATTAACTCACCTTCTCATTCTCTTGTAGAACAATGTACAAGGCTTTTCGTCGTTCTTCTGCTACTTCTTTCCAGTAAGTAGATGGAGGTGTTTCTACAACAGAAATATGAGCTCATAATAGACAGAAGTTGTTTTTTTTGGGGGTCACCGCCACAGTTCTGCGATAAACACACAAGCTACCTTTGACCATAAGTTCATATGCTTCTTTGGAGATGCCATCTAGCAAACACAGAGTTTCTTCTGTTTGTGTGGATTTGACTTCCACCTTCACCCTCTTTGGACCTCTAGTTTGCTCTGCATGCCACTGTTTCCTTTTGGGAATGACCTTCCCTGCCTAAAAACAAAACCATCATTTCGTGTTTGAAAACAGTACGTTACAAGCCACTTGTTCTGGCATTAGTGTTGGTAACTAATTTACTGCAAACTGAAAGACATCTGAATTAAAATTATACCAAGTTACAACTCCCTACATACCTGCCCTGACCTCCCCAGATCTTTGTTGACAGCTGAGGATTGGAGGACCTGCAGGGTTTGCCTGGGGGGTCCCATTGCCTTTGGCGACTGTGTAAAAAAGCTCTGAAATAAATTAAATCACAAGTTGATTATCCTTATCCTTAGTGTTACCTTATGAGTACATCATAAATCAGAATACAAGAACTCCCCCACCCACGAGTCTTAGAAATTCAAAATAGTCACATGGGAAACTAACATAACCATGTTCTCACAAGGTATATTCACCAGAGCTTAGCATCACTATGCACACTTCAGTTACACTATCACCATGGGAGAGGGCATAGGTGAAGAGGATTGCTGCCATGGCCAACAGGCCCACAGGTGTGGGACAGGGGCAGGGCCTAAATTCATTCAACAGCTGTGGGAAAGTTTTGCCTTCAAGGCTCATTACAGAGCAACTATACTGTTTAGCCAGTTGCTCATAAGACACGACTAAAGCAAATCATACCTAGCTAAAATGCTGAGCACAAATAGAACCATTTAGTCAGTCATTCTTGCTGGTCTCTTGATTCTGCTAGAATTGGCAGTCACATAGAACCAAGCACGAACATGTAAAGGAGGACTGTACGCTAGCTACCCAGTCCTACACAGGCATCAAATAAGCCAGCAAGTCGGGAGATGAGATGTAGCTATATTGTTGGCTCACTACTAGTTGTCTTTACAGGTCATCCAACTGTGGAGGAGACTATACTTAAAACTAAACATACCACTGTGCTGAAACAACAAGTAGCACACAATTCCAACAAAACAGTCTTCTTATAGTCATATCACACAAGATAATTTAATAGTACAATTTATTTTGACTCAATATACCGAGTAGAAGAGAGCATTTCCACTGCTAGTCACTTAACACAGCCCTAATTTTAGGCTTTTCATAACATTTTGACTTGTAGCAGGAAAAGAACCGGCACTTCTAATAATATTAAGGAGGCCTGCTCCATTCAGGCATCTCAGAAAGTCATAAGAATGGCTCTGAAATTGAAGCAACTAAACTTCAGCCATAGCTTACACATGTGACATGTCAAAATGTTAATAATTCAACCTTTTAGGTTCTTATGTATACACACACACACACACACACACACACACACACACACACAACAGTGAAATCTTGTACCTAGTGAAATCTGTATTTAAAATCTTGAGTAAGAATTAATACTACTGAATTAAAAACCCAAAACAGGGATACATTTGCCCTTCAATCCCCCCACCCCCCCCCCCCCCAGGTGCTGAACTCTTACAAGCTGTTAACTTATGACCTATTATTATAAACACCCAAATGGACAACGGCAATATCTGCCTTTGTCAAGTTAAAATACACTTAAGGAAGGAGCAGTTACTCACCTTTATATTCTCATTAGACCTCTGGTGGCTGTGTTTCAGCTTTCCACTTGTAACGTTGCTCATTTTCTTTCAGTAGACCTGATGGGGGAAATAACATGGTTAACATAATGTCAACATAGCTAGAAGTGTGATGGACATTTGAAAAGAAAAAAACAAAACGTTGCTTAAAATGTAGTTACCACGCGACAACTACTGATAGTTTAATACAGACTAGGCAAAAAAATGCACCATAAACTTCAGGGTAAAACGTTAAATGTCACCACGCCCGTAGCAAAGCTAGGGTACAAAAGGCCAAATGAGCTAATGTTAAAAAATAAGCTAATTTATTTGACCAAGCTTGTCTAGTGCAGAATTAGCTACAATCGACAATGCCTCATGGATAGAATACAGAAAAAACATTTTAACTCAAAACGCCACAAAAACAAAGAAACGACAACGCGTCTCACCGTTGCTAAAAGGTACCACCTAGCTGAGACGATCTATTCATCCTCTGGAAATCTCGCGCCAGGATCTTAAATACGCCCATGCAGTCACGTGGCAAAGGCACCTTCACGAGGAGGGTTTTGGTTTGTACTGAATTCCCCCCCGGTCACGTGTCAATACACGTCATATCTTTGTAGAGGACTGAGCAGCCATCTTGGGAAGGCTGTGGATCGACGAGCTCGTGTGTGCCATTATTAGCTGCCTAAAAATACACAAAGAAACCAAACGGAAAAACGTTGGACGATACGCCGTTAAATATGGGCCCACCGGGAGACAAAACATGCCCCATATCGACTGAAAGAACGGAGGATTTCAGCTGGATTGTCGATTTATCTTGACATGGCATGCAGCAGGGCGAGTCGGAGATTGTGACGACTGAAGAAAAGAAGAGAAAGAAAACAAGCGCAGTAAACACCTCGAAACTTGAGACGTGGAAAGGGGAGATTGTGCTTAGCTAACGTTGATTTCGCCATTCAACATTTGACGTTGGTTTGGCTACTCATTCACTGGCTGCATTGTTTTTATCGATGAAGTTGCTGATAAGACACGACTAAAGCAAATCATACCTAGCTAAAATGCTGAGCACAAACAAAACCATTTAGTCAGTCATTCTTGCTGGTCTCTTGATTCTGATAGAATTGGCAGTCACGTTGAACCAAGCGTGAACATGTAAACGCGTGGAAAGATGACTGTACGCTAGCTACCCAGTCCTACACAGGCATCAAATAAGCCCGTAAGTTGGAAGATAAGATGTAGCTATATCATTGGCTCACTACTAGTAGTGTCGGAAGTGAATGTCTAGATTAGCTTACTAGCTCCCTGTAGCTAGTGTGCTAAAAATACGCCCACATCATGACTATCAGCAGTGGCAGCACCGCAGGCCGTGAGCCAAGTGAGTGGAAATAAAAGTCAAGGAAATGTCAAGTTACCTTTGCAGTAGTCTTCGATGTTACCCGGTGCCAATATCTCCTGGCATCTGTATTTACCTGCCATGTTCGTCTGTAACACGCACATAACGCGGTCTCTATAGAGAAACCAACAAAACGGCAGCCATGGATGAGGGACTTTGAAATGACCCAAATAATGGAATATTTGTGTGCTCGTTAGTCTCAGTAGTCATCAAATTCACTAGCATATATAATGCCCTTATGGCTTTTTATAGTAGCAGCCGTTTCTGTTGATTTCAGCAACATTTACAAAATAAATGTCAATTTGAGTTACTGTTTCATTTAAATTTCCTCTGTAATCCCTTGTCAGTGGCAGATTGAAATAAGATAATTTGGCGTCAAGGTCGTCTCTTAAACATGGATTTCTGAACAAGTAATAAAGAGATGTGGTCTTAGCTTGGTGATCATTCCCCTACTCAACGCTGCCCATTTACAAAAAATGGCTTAGTTTTGTTTCTGATTTTTTGACCTTTTCAGTTGGTAGATAGCGGGTATTTCATAGATCTAGCCAAGAGTTGTGTGATGCATCGTTTCTGCAAAGGGTAGCTAGCACGATCCTTTATCCAGCGTATAAATACAAAAGTAGAGTGTGTAGCCAAAATATTCTGTACAAGAGAAGACACTACCATCAACATCTAACCATGGGAGACCCAACTTCACGAAGAAATCAAACAAGAAATCGACTTCGAGCTCAACTTCGGAAGAAAAGGGAATCTTTGGCTGATCAGTTTGACTTCAAGATATATATAGCCTTCGTTTTCAAAGAAAAGGTTGGTCAGCAAAATAAAAGCTGTTATTCTTCATGCATTAACAGAACTTTCTACAGTGTTTGCTCATTGCACAAATTTAAATGTCCAATCAAATGTCAAACCAAGGAAAAACAAGTAAAGTTTTGTTTGTGTCTCTACTTTTCTTTTCATTACAGACGAAGAAGTCTGCACTTTTTGAGGTAGCTGAAGTGATGCCAGTGATGACCAACAACTATGAAGAAAACATCCTACGAGGTGTGCGGGATTCTAGCTACTCTCTTGAGAGTTCAATAGAGCTCCTGCAAAAAGACATTGTGCAACTACATGCCCCAAGATACCAGTCGATGCGAAGGGTAAGACGTTGAGCCATCTGAAGAAGGGGTTGTTTGAATAAAACATTTAGTCGTGTTGATACATTGTCCTTTCTCATGGTGTTGTAGGATGTGATAGGCTGCACCCAGGAGATGGACTTCATCCTTTGGCCACGCAATGATATTGAGAAGATTGTCTGTCTGCTGTTCTCCAGATGGAAGGGGGCTGATGATGAACCCTTTAGGCCTGTTCAGGTCAGAGCTTGGTGGATTATTCTTGTTAATTTTCTTTTTAACTATTCTCTATGTAGTTCTATGTCTGAATTCCAGCTGGGCAAATTATTAATTTTTTCCCCTGCAAAAACACACCAAGGCTAAACAAAAGTAAACTGTTGACCTAGAATAACCGCATCATCGATAAGGGTGTGATGGTTATGCATGTTTTAAATATTCATTTAAAATATCTATTTAGCTACTAGCTGCCACATAATACACCACACAAGAACAAATGTATTATCCCAGTTAATATGGTACATACAGCATATCACACAGCTCTAGCCCGGATGCAACAGTATTTAATTTTTGGCTCAGAAGTCTGTCCTCTGATTTACAGGCCAAGTTTGAATTTCATCATGGAGACTATGAGAAGCAGTGCTTGCATGCTTTGGGTCGTAAAGACAAGGCTGGAATGGTCATGAACAACCCAACTCAGTCTGTATTTCTCTTCATGGATAGACAGCACTTACAGGTGAGTCAGTCTGTTTAAAGGATGCTACCGATTTGAAAAGGGTGAAGTCTCACAGCCTGCCAACACACTTTACAGAAAGTGTTCTCTATCCACCTCTCCTGCAGACTCCTAAAACCAAGGCCACAGTTTTCAAGTTGTGCAGCCTTTGCCTGTACTTGCCCCAGGACCAGCTGACCTGCTGGGGCGTGGGAGACATCGAGGATCACCTCCGCCCATACATGCCTGATTAAGGCTTTCTGCTCCACCCAGCTACATAGGGAAAAGCCCTTCTCATGCCTCCTGCCTAAGCCGTCAGAGGCAAATTGATGTACTCATCTCCACCCATTTCCTTTTAAACAATTTGAACTTGTGCTTGGATCTCTCCTTTTTTTGTTACATACTCATTCTCCCCTCCCTGACCTGAAGCTGATTCAGTTCCCATTCTGTTTTTTCCTCATGCTCCCAATGTTTCCTCTCTGCACCCCCCTTCCCTTTTTTTCTTCCCCTTTTTCATTCCCTCCTAGTCACTCATTCATTTTTCTTTATTTGAACCTGCACGAACATTGATTTTGAGTAGTTGGATGTTCTCTTGGAGCTGCACTGTCAACGGCACCGGTCATTGAAGGAACTCTTTATGTTGCATCAAAAAAAAGGAGCAAACAATACACAGGTCTTCACGGTGGTTCTCAGATGGACGTGTTTTATATCCTTGTTGTCATAAGAAAGGATTGTTAGAGTTTGGTTGTAAAGTCAATGAGGTTTCTAGAGCAACTTTACACAATCTTTTGACCAAGGACAGGTGTGAATAGGTGTTACAACAGCTGTATAAGCAAAGATAACAAGAGGAACAATATTTGTCAAATCATACGGTGTAGGTATTGCTTCTTATAAACCACCCTAGTTTGTGCCGGACTTTTAAAAAACATTTTGGTGTCATTTGCTTTCATCTGAAAAATGCTAGACAGGGCCTTTGTGAAAATCTTGTAACTTAAGGCATTGTACACAAAGTTAAGAGAAGTTGAAGGTCATTGTCACCATTCAAGTCATTCACACACTATTCATTTAAGCTTCTGAAATTTGATTTTTTTATTTTATTTCATATTTTGTTCTATGTGGGGGGTTGATGAGAAATTGAAATGGTGACAGGTTTAATGTTTAACATGCCTAACAAAAGTTGCTGAAAGATAACTTGTTTAATTTGACCTACTAAAATTAAGATAATTTGCTGCCATGCACATATTAAAATTGGGTTTTGCGGGCTTGCTTGTCAAAGAATATGAAGTACATATAATTTTGCTCATTGTTGATTCAGTGTGTTCAGTTGAAAGGGTATAAGGTTGTGTATCTTCTGGGGTTTTTTTTCTGTTGAGTCTCAAATCAATACTGCTGAGCATATCCCAATACAGTGCAAATTCTGAAAGCTTAACTCTTGTCCATTTGTTTTATTATATATATGGATGAATCACTGATACAAATTTGAAATCAGTTTTGGCTGACTTCTTGCTCCCACCACTGTTTACTACATTATTTACACAATCAGTGATTTTTATAAACTGCAGGCAGAGGTGAGTTCACAACTTCACTCAGAAGTCCTTTGTTTCGACATTACGTTTATATAATTAATGTGATAGATGCAGATTGAAGACTAACTGCTGCCGAGGTGTTTAGTGTGTCTTCCTTGTGCAATAAGCTTCCCTGTGGCCTTGCTGGTGAGGTCTACAGTGGCAAACGCCAGCGTCCGTCCTTGCTTCAGGACCTGAGCGGTGATAAGTATGTCCTCTCCCATCTTAGCAGCATTCATATATCTGTAAGACAATGGCATTGTTTCAAGTGATTTATAGAGCATCGAGTTATTCTTTAGTCTGATTGGATTAACATGCTGAAGGTCAAGGCCACCTCCAGTGAGAGAAAATGAAACTTACTAGTGTGGAGGTACATTCATCCAAATTTTAGGACAAGCTGACACCAAACATACACTATATGGACAAAAGTATTGGGACACACCTCTTAATTAGTGAATGAAGGTGTTTCAATTGGACCCATTGCTACAGGTGTACAAAATCAAGCACCTAGCCATGCAGTCTCCATTTACAAACACTTGAGTCATTCTGGAGAGCTCAGTGACTTCAAGCGTGGTCTTGTGATAGGATGCCATCTTTGCAATAAGTTGGTTTGTAAAATTTCATCCCTGCTGGGTATTCCACGGTCAACTGTAAGTGTTATTATTGTAAAGTGGAAGCATTTAGGAACAACAGCAACTCAGCCACAAAGCAGACCACAAAGTCAGAGCAGGGTCAACAACTGCAATGGTGCATAAAAGTCGCCAACACGCTACGCTACAGGTTCTGTAGCTTCCACTGGCATTAATGTAAGCACAAAAACTGTGTGGTGGGAGCTTCATGGAATGAGTTTCCATGGCTGAGCAGCTGCATGCAAACCTCATAAAACTCAAGCCCAATGCCAAACATCGTATGGAGTGGTGTAAAGCACATTGCCACTGGACTGTGGAGCAGTGGAAATGTGTTCTATGGAGTGACAAATCAAGCGTTTATGTTTGGCAGATGCCAGGAGAACATTGCCTGCTGCCTAACTGCATTGTACCAACTGGGAAGTTTGGTGGAGAAGGGTTAATGGTATGGGGCTGTTCATCAGGGTTTGGGCTAGGCCCTTTACTTCCAGTGAAGGGCAATCCTAATGCTTCAGAATACCAAAACAGGCAACACTATGCTGCCAACCTTGTGGACAGTTTGGGGAAAGTCTTTCTCTGTTCCAGCAAGACTGTGCCCCAGTTCACAAAACAAGATCCTTAAAGACATGGTTGGATGAATTAGGTGTGGAAGAACTTGACTGGCCCTGACCTCAGCCCCACCTCTGGGATGAACTGGAATGGAGATTGCAAGCTAGGCCTTCTCGTCCAACATCAGTGCCTGACCTCATCAAGAATGAATGGGCACAAATTCCCACAGAAACACTCCAAAATCTTGCGGAAAGCCTTTGCAGCTGTTACAGCTGCAAAGGTGGGACCAACGCCATATTAAAGTTTATGCTTTTGAATGCAATGTCATTAAAGTTCCTGTTGGTGTAATGGTCAGGTGTCCCAATATTTTTGTTCATATAGTGTGCTTTCAGGGTTAGTGTGGTAATAAAACAACAAAGTCAGTCAATACAAATGCAGTGTTTCTCTGTATGCATTCAGCAGCAGTGACATTTAATTTACATGATTTATTACCAGTGGTGGAAGAAGTAGTCAGATCCTTTACTTAGGTAAAAGTAGCAGTGGAACAGTGTAAAAATACTCAGTTACAAGTAAAAGTCCTGCATTCAAAATGTTACTTAAGCAAACGTACAAAAGTATTAGCATCAAAACATACTTAAAGTACTAAGAACACTCATTATGGAGAATGGAACATTTCCCTTTCCTGTATATCATATCATTGTATTATAATTACTGATGAATTATTGTGTACATCATATTTAGTGTTACAGCTGGTAAAGAGGGAGCTAGTTTTTATTTGCTAATAAGCATTTAATTAGAATTACTGTTGGGTAGCTTGTGAATTTTCCACCACAGATCAGTGAGGTCTTATACTGTATTTTTGTATTATCTGGTTATGAAAGGTAACTAGTAACTAAAGTTATAAAACAAATGTCGTGGAGTAAAAAAAAAATACAATATTTACATCTAAAATGTAGTGATATGAAGTAACAGAAAATAAAAATACTCAAGTACAGATACCTCAAAATTGTACTTAAGTACAATACTTGAGTAAATGCACTTAGTTACTTTCTACCACTGTTTATTAGTATTCACAATTAAACAAACACTTGGACCTCCCATACTGTGCCAGCGGCCGTCAATTCAGATGTCCGTCCCACGTTCACAGTTTGCCCCACTCTCTTATTCTGAAATAGTGTTTACGCAGACTTTACGCTTGTTAATTCAGTAAAACCAGGCTATCAATTCATTCATAGAGTAGCTCGTTTATGGAACACTGCACCCTGCGCTTCAGTATCACTGTATCCTGTTGGCAGAGTGCAAGTCCACCACCCACTCATGCTACATGGGACTCAAAACAAGCATATTCTTAATGCCGAAGGCTAGGTAGAGACAAAACACTACAGGAACTGCTTTCATGAGTGAATCCGTTCTGTGCTGTTAAGCGATAACATCTATAATGACTATTATAGAGGTTTACACTGTACAGAGACTCACGTTATGTTCATATCCACGCTGACTCCCGGCGCTCCCCTCTCACTCTGCATGATAGCTAAGGTTGAAATGATATCAACCAGGGTGGCTGTGAGCCCGCCGTGCAGCGTCCCTCCCCGGTTAGCGTGTTCCTCCTCTACCCGCATCTCACACACCACCTTACCTGAGCTGGTGGACAGTATGTCCACCTGAGGAAAACACATATAGTTATCCGTCATATATTGCAACAGTTTGGAGCTTGTCCTGTTAGGTAAGCTGTTGTGGTTAAAATGCAAACAGTGTGTTCACGGTCACAACAATACAGCATTAAACACTCAAGAAATGTCGCAAAATAAATGTGTTTACCTTGCTCAGGACTCTATCGAAGCCTGAGGTATCTACCATTTCTCTCATTATGCGTTTTAACGAATTTAATGTAAGAGAAACCATATTTAACACCAACAAATGCAACCAATGTCAAAATTACTTTTACCTCACACCAGAGACTTTTGCGTTACATTAAATAGTCCGGGTGGAAACTAAAGCGAATCTGCTAGGTAACTTACAAATATCGTTTCGACCAGAGCTATCGTTCAGAAAGTAAACTGCAACACAATAAGAATACTTGGCAGCATTCATTAGTAACTGTACATGTAGCCTAGAGATTATCACTTTAATAATATACAGTAGCGTTTTATTTTTTTTGCGCTGAGATTCGTTGTCATTAGCAAGTTCACCCGGAAGTCTTTCACTGATACACCTAAGTTGCAGAGCAACACGAATTGGCTCATGTGTCCTAATTCAGGGGATGCATCCTTAACTTTTAACTGATTTAATTTAGCTTAACTTCTGAGTAATTTTTGTATTTAACTCTTCTTTTCTTGTGTAATTTTGTAAATTAATTTTGCGGCTAGAAAAGATGGCTTCCTCATCTGATTCGGACAAACCGTCAGTTTCTAATCTAGAAGAAAACAGAACTCGTCTGTGTGATGAGTTTGCTGCAGTCGCGGGAACCGACGGCTCTGTGGCTCAGTGCTACCTGGCTGAAAATAAATGGGACATGGAGGTACAGTAGCTACACCACCCGAGGTCTCTCGGATATGTCCTTATTTCGCTAGCTTACCGTTGTAGTCAGAGACAAAACCACTTGCTGGCGGCCAATATATTAAAAAATTTTTTTAATGACATTGCTGCATCTTATTTCACTGATGCCAGAAGGTGCTAATATACGTCTGCTTTAGATGGCATGACATTTTTCATTCAGTTGATGTTTTTTCCTAAATCGAATAGTAAACCACCTTTCAAGATTCAAAGTGTTTATTGTCATATGCACAGTATGGAAACGTGTTTCCCTGCACAATGAAATTCTTACTTTCCTATCACTTGAATTGTTAGAGAGCTTTGAACTCATTCTTTGAGGCAGACATGGAGACAGTATTTGAAGTAGAAGATTCTCCAAAGAGAGAAATCAGCCCCAAACCCAAGAGGCATAAGGCTGAGGAAAAACCTCCAAGAGACTGGTAAGTCTGCTGCCATACTTTGTGTTACTGTTAACAAATTACTGTATAATAACATTAATCCATGCCTTCTTCCGTTATGAAACATAATTCCAGTCTTTGAAAAATTTCTAGCATAGATTTGACTGAAGACAGTCCTGCCCCCTCAAACAAACCCTCAGAAGAAGATGACAGTAAATTGTCAGTGGTCTCCTGGAACGTCGATGGACTTGATACAGACAACCTGGCTGAGCGAGCGAGGGGCCTGTGCTCCTACTTAGTCTTGTAAGTATGTGTTACACTTTTTAAACTCTGTAGAGATCAGAGATCACCTGCAGAGCAGTGATTTGGGAAATAAAACGTGACTTAAGGGTACAGATAGTGCTTGAAAAGAAAATCTTCTTGTCATGTAGATACACTCCTGATGTGGTGTTCCTGCAAGAACTCATCCCACCTTATATCCAGTACTTGAAGAAACGGGCTGTCAGCTACCTGTTCATTGAAGGTACAGTATTTTTGATGGTGTAATGCTCTCTGTTGCTGTCTTGTTACCAGATGGTCCTTGTTTGGATATGACTGCAAGAAAAGTAAACAGTTTGACACAGCAGTGTCAATGTCTGAAGAAAATACGGCAGGACAAAGTAAATGGACTATACTCAGAACAGGGGAATATTCAAACTATGGCATAAACTGGGCAAGCTCAGTAGGTCAAACTGCTCATTTTCTTTATATGTGCTGACCAGGCGGTGAAGCTGGTTACTTCACTGGGATGATGCTGAAAAGGTCACGAATCAAACTGCTGGAGAGTGAAACAGTGACTTACCCCACCACTCAAATGATGAGGAATCTTCTTGTAGCTCAGGTTTGTGACACTTATCCAAATACTCCAAATCATTATACTTAAATTCAGTTTACCTTAACTTGATATGAGTACATTTTCTTTCTTGAACATCAGGTGGATTTTAAAGGCCAGAGGCTGTGTCTGATGACGTCCCACCTTGAGAGTTGTAAAGGCCATGCAGCAGAGCGGATGAAGCAGCTCCAAGTGGTGATGCAGAGGATGAGAGAGGCACCTGACAATGTCACTGTCCTGTTTGGAGGGGACACAAACCTGAGGGACACTGAGGTTAGTCTTTCCAGCCAGATTTAGTCAGTCCATACTTGACATTCCACAATGTATCTCTTCATTAATACTTGACCTGGGCCCTGTATCAGGTGGCCAAGGTAGGCCTACCCTCTGGGGTCTGCGACATCTGGGAGAGACTGGGCAAGCCGGAGCATTGCCGCTACACGTGGGACACCAAAGCCAACAACAACAAGACTGTTCCCTTTGTCAGTCGCTGCCGCTTTGACCGGGTCTACCTCCGCCCAGCAACCGGGGATGGAGTCCCACATCTGGCCCCTGAACACATGGCTCTGGTGGGTCTGGAGAAGCTGGACTGTGGCCGCTACACTAGTGATCACTGGGGAATCTATTGTAGCTTTTCTGCTAGATAGAAATACACAAAAAGAGCTTGAAAATGGAAGTGAAAGCTTTAGATTTCAGCTGGTCTTGTTGCTTTATATGCTTTAAAGTGCCACTGCAGACAAGCAACACAACTGATCATAGAAACACTTTCTGTATGAAAGATGATGTTCTGAACTCATCAGAGGTTGGCAGCCTGTAAATTTTATATCTTGATTAGTTTTATCTTCTAATGTATCTCATTTTTCCTGTTAAAATATCTAAATAAATGTAAAACGCACCAATAAATGCAAAACTTTCAAAGCTTCATTTCATTTTGCAGTTCAGGTTGAAAATTGGGTCTTGACCTTTAAAACAATTAACTGCATCTCATCACAAGGTTTATTGGTAGCTGTTCTGGAGCTCTTGTATACATTACACAATCTTCCTCAGCAAATGGATAGTTTGCCCAGTGTTCATAGAACAGTAGATGTTAACATTTACATTTTTAAGTTTTACATTTTAAGGTCTTTTCAGCCATACTGGATTAAAACTTGAAATTGAAAAACGATTCTTGACTGATGACAGACTGTTGATGCACTTAAAGTCATGAGATTGTCCTGTCAACATTTTGTTTCCAGATAGTCTAGATTTCAAAATAACACCAGCTTATGTCACATTATAGGAATGCACACAATTCACATTAACTATACTATACTGAACTCAAGTATATTTTACTTTATAGTATAGGAAACCTAATACAGGCAGAGCTGTGTATGTTGTATTGATATCCTACCACTAGAGAGCAGTATAGAGTTGCATTTGTAAAAAGGTGATGATAAGACTGGAGAACATTTACAGTAAAAGAGCTTAATAAAAGATCAGGGTGATTATATTTAATGCATCTGCAGCTAATGTAACCATTAAAATGTTTTCACTCTTTAGAACAAAACAGTTATTAAATTAATACAGATGTGAGGTAACATGCCATATTTGTAGTAAATACAATATATACATATATGCATGATGGTATAATGTGTATGTATGCGTAAACCATATCATATATTATATTTTGAATGGTCATAGCAGGAAAAGCATGGTACTGCATGCAATCATTTTGCAGCATCTATCATATATTCTACACTCTGACTGTGTCTCAAGCCTGAGCTCTACCTCCAGATGTCACCTGGTCTTCAATGTCACTGCCAAGACATCTCCCTCAGTTGTCTCTGTAGTGCGCCCTTCACATTTGAGAGTGTTTTGCTGTTTGCTCAGCGACCACACAGAACTGCTTTCACAGCACAGTCACACACAGTGAAGAAGCGCTGACCTTAGGAGAGGACACAGATGTGACTCTTCCTCAGGAGCAGGCATCATTAGAACAGGCCTCTCTCCCTCATTTGTTTCCTCACTGGTTCCTGTCCAGCTTTGATTAGTTCACCTAAAACATGTAAAGCTCAGAAATAAGTCTCCCTTTATTTAGTGGCATAATGATAATTTCTCTACTTGTGAAGAAGAAATGAGAACTAACTTTGTACCTGAAAAAAAATTCCAGATGCAATTTTGGTTTAGTTCATCCATGCAGGTAGTTTTCATTCATCTTCAGAATGACATCCTATTTAACAGCTCAAAAACATACTTAAACATTATTTATCAGATTGATACTTCATGCTTTTTTAATTTACTGAGAACTGCTCATAACCATGATTTTGAAGAACTAAAACTCTGCTACAACAAATTATGCATTATTTCTGTTTAAGAAACAACAACTGTAGAACCTTGTTAAATACAGTGGTTTTTGATTTCTGTATTAGTGACTAGTGTTGTCAGTATTTTTTTTACATAGCACTACCTCTGCCAAATCCCACTGTCTGAGGGATGTCCTAACAAACAGGAGGAGGAAATATTTGTTAATGCAGAGTCCATGAAATAGTTATTTGGTATAATAACAATGTTTCAAGAACACGTCTGTATTTTGTTATCATTATCAAAAGCAAAAGCCCAGTTTGTGGCAAAGGATCCCAGTGCCAGTGTTTTTCTACATAAAGGTTATAAATAGGAAAAGTAAAATTACTGGACACTTGTGTCAAATTTAAAGAAATTCCCTAAAGGCCTGTCTGAGATAGCTAGTTCACAAGAATGGGCCATATAAATGGACGGACACATGGAGAGATGGATAGATAACCCGAAAACATAATGCCTGCAGCTGCAAATCTTACCGGTGCAGAGGCATAAAAACGACTGTTACACATACATTATTTAATAAATGCTCTCATATTTACTGCATGAAATTATGATCAAATGCATGTGCCTGATATGATCATTTCAGTTGGGTTTTGTCAAATTTTGAATGTATAAACTAACTGAAATAACAGATGATGAACTAATCATATCATAAACTCCAGGTGACTTGATCAGGAATTCATGATAAATACTGTATTTGTCCATTAAGTCATCTGAAATCATGCATTATTTATACATTACTTTAGTATGCATCTTGTGCTCTTGTTATAAAGTGCTACTGAGATTTTTGTTTTTGCAGAATTTTTTCCCATGCTCCTCTAGGGTTGCAGTACTTTGCTCTAATTGTGCACTGAGTCATTTCACACTACAGTACTGAAGAGCAGAACAGCAGCAGGTCACACATGGCACAGATGGAGGCAACAGCTGTCTGGGCCAAGAACACAGTCATGTGATTTGTCTGTCTGCCTAGAGCAGGATCCCTCTGCCAGAGGTCCATCAACGGTGCCCTCCTCCAAATATCCATAAACATCTGCACCATACGTTTCCCTCTGGGTGTGTGAACATCTTCCAAAATATTCTCGTTTGCCCTGTTTTTGCTTTTTTATTTCACTCTCTGATGTGTTTTTAAGCACCAGCAGCCTCACAAATGTATTTTTGGAGCTTTCTCTCCACAAGCATAGCCCTCAGTGAAAGCCAGGGCTCTCTTCTGAGGCTCATCAAAATGAATGTTCTTGGTTTTGTGTGGACACATCCGTGTGCTGGTGGGGAGGCTCTGGGATGAGGTTTGTCCTTTGAGGCAGGATTGGATGATGACAGATCATAAGTAGATCTGACCCAAGCCCAAAAGAGATCTGCGGGTGGTGTGAAGTGCTGCAGCTCCTGGTAACAGATGGCGCCATAAAGTGTAAGACAATTCACTTACTGTTGCTGCTTGATTGATAGACCGTGACCAGGCTCTTTCAAAGATTTTGTATTTTAGTTTTTTCTTTAGGGTGGGTGTAAGCAGATGGCTATGGGCAACATTTCCACTGTGTGAGTGATTAAATGGGCACAGCACTGTTCACAAGCAAAAAAATCTATCTGAACCATGTCTGTCACAGTCCACACAAACACCCACCTCCACTGCACAGATCGCTTGTCACAGGCAAGGGCAAGCATAAGTGGTGCCCCGCTCTGTATCACCACCACCGCCACATCCATCACTACTTCACTTCAAAATTGCTGTGACAAACCGCTTCTGAAGCCAGTAATATTTCTGGCTATACAGTCTTGCTGTTGCATTTTTTAGCACTGTCAGTTATTTAGAGGTTTGCGAGATAAGGGGAAACCTTCTGAGCGAGGATTTTTTCTCATCCATCACTCTCAAAGGGTTGAGGATGAAGGCAATGATATTTGAAGACTCATGCAAGGATTTGGGGCAAGGTCAGTCTCTGTTATACCAGATAGTATAGGCTGATTTTTGTTTTATCTTAAACTCTACATCAAAGGGCCACTCTGTTGGTTTAATATTGTTCATCCATGAGGTTGACAAAACACTTCAAAAGACAAAACACTGGCCAAAAGTGATGCAGCAGAGGCAGTGATATCCTATTATTTGCTAGTATTGATCAAGCTCCAAAAATTCTGGCTTATGCACTTCCCATAATTCAACTCAGTTTTATTTTCTATATATATATAGTTATATATAACTTTGTTAGACTCCTTCCTGAGCAACATTATACACCTCTTTTTTTCTCATTCACTGTAAAACTGTTGAAGTGCCCATTTAAGATCAGTTTTGATGAGCATTGATTACTGGGGGCTGAAACAAAGTATTTTTTTGGTTTGATTAGGGTAAGGTACAAATGTATGTGTCAGACAATGAATGTAAGTAAAATACAAATCTGACCAGAAATTTTGTAACAAAGTCTGACAGGTTTTATTTTGTCTCTCATAAATAACACTGAACAAGCACTGTACAGCGATAAATATCAATATTTATACACTGTAAAGTTCTCTGTATTACAAAATACAGTGTATGTGTAATGCACTTGATACAGACAGGGAAGTATTGCATTTCATAGCACCAGGTGTGACCCTTAACTTGACTCTTTAAGGTAACATCACACCGTACATCCTCTATAACAGTTCAGGTGTGCCGTTACATCCCAGATTCAGTCTTTTGTGGGTGTCTATGAAATATACTTCCCTTAGGAATCAGTTGTTGCATAACTATATCTAGGTTAAATAGAGTCCATCCAGGAAGAACCAAAGCCTTAATGTAAAATGCTAAATTTTTCCACAATCTCAGTTTAAAATCTCAACCAAGAGGCTGAAATATTATGCGAACCGTATTCATGGTACCGGATCAAGTTTCATGTATTGAATTTTTGCATTAAACATGGCATTACTTCCATATATTTCTCACTTCTGAGCAGAACACCTAAATAAACCACACTTTATTTGGAGAGTAGGGACGATACTATCAGGTCAAAACCTTGTGTATATAACATTTTCTCATCAAACCTCAACTCCATACCTTCAAAAAGTGATCTGAGTGAGTAGAATAATTAATCCCCCAGTCGTAAAACATACTCCTCTCTCTCTCTCTCTCTCTACATAATCTTTAAATTCAAGTAAGAAAATACAAAAATGTATAGACCTTCATAATAAGATTTTCATGTACTGGGATTGAGAGGTTGGTTGCTAAAAACCAATACATAATCAAATGATTTATGGACTCTCCAAAAGTGCTACACAGTTGAACCAGCTGTTCTGATCACATGGTGTTTCTCTTCCATACCTTAAGCAATGCAGAAATGTCTGACAGAGGCAGAAGGAAGTAAAAAGCAGACAGGACACAAACACAAACCCAGGAATGTTGACAACAAAGGAACATGGTTCGACTAACTCAGATGCAGATTTCTATTCACTTTTGAAAGAAAAATAAATGTTTAGAGAGATCTTTAACACTGGAATGGAAAAAATTCCCACACATTTCTAAAGACCATCTTAAGACTTTTATCTTTTTTTTTTTTTTTTTTTTTTTTTTTTGCTTTTGACTTTCAAATATTATTGCTAAATTCAGACAGGAAGGGGCCATTTCGACCAACTTTTAGCAGGAAAATAACTAGAGCTTTTCATGAGATTGGCAGCATAGAATGTGTTCAGACAAACATTAAACCGGAAATAAAAACTGAAAAACAAAGGTTTTTGTGAACAACTACAGGGACATAAAAATGGATATTTCATATAGGAGCCCTTATTATTCCTCAATCACACTTTGTCTGAGGAGCAGCATCACAATAAGTCATGTAAAAATAAAACGTCTTGTCACATTCATCACTTAGTGTCCATGATGTGTTTGATTGTCGGCTTCTGAGACACATCCGTGTCATCTTTTGACCAACCAAATTATTTTCCAGTTTAACTTGTCTGTAGGAAAATAATGCCTGTCAGTTGCAGTTGACTATGCAAACAAGCCTACAGCATGAAACACTGCTGTTGTTTCATTAAAAACACAAAAACTGTCCAAATGTCATTTCTATCATTACCGACAAAATTAAGTTAAAAAAAAAAGAAGAAATAAGCCACATGTAGCCTCAGCTCAGGTGGGGCCAGTGCCATGGTGTCTGATTTGCTTAGTTGTCTATACTGTACGTAAAACCTAAAAAAAAAAAACAAAAAAAAAAAAAACACACCTATCTGTGTTTTTTATGCATGAGGGCATGTCTGATCAGTTTGGTTTCAGCAGTGAAATATGACATTCATGCCATTTTGTCTCCAAAGTATTGCACAAAACTGTCAAAACTACCATCTTAGGTAAGAATTATATAATAACTGAAATGGATAATCTCACAGCCAAAAAAAGACAAAAAAAAGGCACATTAAAAACTAATGTAAAACCAAAATGAATTAGAAACATCTACGGGAAAGCTCGACATCTCAGGGTCAGCTCAGGGTGGGAATCTTTCTGTGCTACCCAGGAGCTGACCACTCTGCACTGCAGAAACCTTCCTGAGGTTCCAGATGTGAAATCTGCTATCTTCTCCAGCCAAATCTTTCAAAAAAACGATGAAGTATGAAATAAAAGTGCATAGGTTGGCACTGTTTTGACACTGAAATGGGAAAACAATTCCTTGGTTCTCCAGAAAACTCCAGATTGCACATTCATTGTGTTAGCAGGCAGCTAATGTGAGCAGTTTTTTTTTTTTTTTAATGACACACTCATTCAGCTTCTGATATCACTAAACATCAGCACTTCATTAACATCTCGAGGAAAAGTACCTCACTGAAAATAAGATAACAAATCCCAAGGTGATGTATCGCAAACCCATTTCAGCACCGTTTCTTCAAAGGTACGTGGACCACACTTTGACAGCATCGTACAGACATACACTTTCAGGGGTTTTCACACAAGGGTGGTCAAAATATGTGGCTAAAAACAATATACCACACCACCAACATGTTACAGGCACTGCCTCAGCATCTCACGGACACCTCAGCGAGTTCCCTTAAGCTGTGCGGTCTTAAAATTCAACTCACACGACATTAATGCAGTTTCCACTGCCAGCTGTCGCCCTCTTGCTGCAGTAGGTGAAGCTGCTGTGATTGGTAGAGGAGCCGTTCATGTGCGATGACTTTAGCTCCATCTGGCAGGCGGCGATGGCTGCGTTGAACTCTACCTGAGCCCGGTGCACGACATAGAACATCAGGGCGATGCTGATGATGATCTGTAAAGGACCAAAGTAGTAGTTATGGTGTGGTGATCAAAAGCTCAGTTGTTTCTTACTTTCTATGGTGATGAGGCTGTCACTTTATTCTGACGTGTATCTAATATCTTGCTGTCCTAATACATCTACAGGAGAATGAGAGCAAAAAGGTGAGGTACATCCACTCAAAATATACCACAGGGCATTCAAAAAAAACCACAACCAACACTTCTGACAAACATCTATAAAATGAACTCTCAAAGCTAGTTTGCTACTAAGAAAGCTACCTTCAGGACAGTACAGTATCTTCTCTCCAGATACTGATTTGCTATCATGTATTATTCTGGTATATGATGATACAAACTGCCTTTTTCCCACTAGTGCTCTCAAATTTGAAATCTATATACAACACTGTATCAATAATTTAATAATTTCACACACACTCCCCGTGAACTTATCAAATGTTCACACACCACCAATCCCTGAGCACTTGTGAAGCTGAGCAGGTGCTGCGTTTGTGGTGGCAGCTGGAAATGTGTGAGCTGAACAGAACCGTGGACAAAATTTGCATATGAACATAGAAGTTAATCATACTCTAGACACTTCTATAAAAACATTTAAGGGAGGGACAGATGTTTGCACTAGGATGCGTTTTGACAGGTTCATTCTCTCACTCACTCATTTTCTACTGCTTAGTCCCTGAACGGGGTCATGGGGGGGCCGAAGCCAATCGCGGCCGGCAATCGGGCGAAGGCGGGGTACACCCTGGACAGGTCGCCAATCCATCGCAGGGCTTTTGACAGGTTTTTTTTTTTTAGACAATTTTTATTCTGAATAAAGTGGAGGGAGGGAAGCACTGATCTGTTATCAAACCTGTTCCATTCTGAGGGTGTTGCCCAGAGCTGCTTCTCACAATAAGAGGACTGTCACTGGCAGTCTTTGAATGTTTGGTGTATTATGATCCTAAGTATCACTGCTAACATTAGAACAGCATATAAAATTAATTACTGGAACTCTGAACTGCTGGCGTTTCTCAGAAACAGGCAGTCTCCTGTGCCTGTGTGTCAGAGGCTGACAAGAGTTGTGCCAATGGAAACATGTTTTTCATTCCCTGGTGAGCTAATAATATACTACCTGGTCTGTCAACATTGCAAAAAACTCCCCAGTATCCAACCGAAGTGTTCTCATACAGTGTCCTAAAGGGATCATGGAAAAATCCACACCAAGTCATGCTACTAGACAAAGACTGATTTAGGATGTTTCACTTTTGTTGAAGTTTATAGGGAAACTTCTGATCAAGCCAGACTGGGAGGAATACAGCCCAACAGAGGTGTTCTTAAGGAGATTGTGCGATTTGAATTATTTTACTGTTGTTATTCTTATACACATGGGGCTCACATTCCAGGCAGTTCAGGATCTTGTTCACACCGGGGCTGAATATACATCACTTACAAAAACATACACTCAACTTACAAAATGTCCACTATCAGGGCAATAAATCCAATTTGGTAAAAAAACAAAAAAAAAAAAACATAAAAATTAAGGCCTGTAATGTGAAGGCAGCCTAAGTAATTTGTATCTTCACGCTTAATGCATCACCACGATCAGCTCACCTGCAGGCTGAACACAAAGTAGCCACTGATGCTCTGCTCAGCGATGACGTCTTCCATGGTGCGGAGCGTGGTGCCCAGGTAGGAGTTGAGAAGCTGAGTGGGCAGCAGACCCACAGAGGAGGCCACCAGGTAGTTTGGCAAGGACACATCTGTGATCTTGAAATGGAAACAGCAAAATGAAGCAAATGTCAATAAAATTATTTAAGCACACTGGTTTGTATATGGAAATGAGCACATGCATTTCAATTAAAACAACGTGTTTATTATGCATTCCATCTTTACGATTAGGGTTGAGGTTCATATCATGTCATGTATTATTTTTTCATCTATAGCCAGTATTGCATCTGCTCTGAGTGACTCCAAAAATAGTTTTCAATCATTTAAAACTACACAAATAATATCTTACAACTAAAACAAAAGTGATGAAAGATTCAGGAACAACATGGAGCTAAATCAAAGATAGAGCCAACTATGTGAAAACGCTTTGGTTCGGATTGTTGCCATTTTGTGCAATTATTGCATTGTTATGACAGGCCTGTGATTTACTCCCATTTCCAGCAAATTTTCTTGCATGCAAGTGTCCATGCAAGTGAGAAATATGCTTATAGCAAACAGCATCATTGTTGCCCCACATTTAGCTAACCACTCCACGTCAAATGAATTCATGATTAGTCCCAAGCCATTCTCTTGTCCTGAGGTGAGATTCTTCAGCAGCACCTAATTCTATGATAACAACTTTTCAAACATTTTACACAATTCAATGTTTGAGAAAATTGCATATCAAAGGCCAAAACTGCAATGTTACCACAAAATTAAAAAAAAAACTGCAACATCATGCTTGAGCAAGAAGTATTATCTGTCACACGTATGGCTGAGTGTCTTTCATACTGGTGCAATCACCTACATACAAAGGAGTATCTGCATTGCTGCCACCCTTGATCCCTCAATGAAGTGATGACCTAAGCTGATGTGTGTGTGTGTGTGTGTGTGCTGAACATGTGAAGATGTGACCTTGGTACTGTGTACACTGTGACTACACTGTGGGTGATAATGCTGTGTCGGGATCCGTGGCGTGTTGCTGCAAGAGGTCTCCTGTGACAAAATGTTATCAGGTCTGCAAAGCATTCTGTTCCAAGTGTCTCCTCCTCCTCAGTCATAAACCCTACACCCTCTCCTGTTATCACACAACACACTGATAAGAGCCCGAGTTTTACCTCACAGGACACTGACATTATCAAAACCCAATTCATCAAACTAATGCCACTGTGAAGCGTTTTTCCCTGTGTATGTTCCATTAAGGATTTTTGCCACAGTATAATCATGTAACAGGCATTTCTCCTTGTAAGATTAGCATTGATGTGTCAGCACTGTGTTTCAAAAGTCAAAATATCTTCAGCTGATCTCTAGGACATGACAGATACAGAAGAAGAGGAACACACTCTCGCTCTCTCAGCTGCCACCCTAGAGTTGTGAAGCACATGTCCTCTGAAGTCTCTTCCCACCCAGGCATCTAGAGGAAGGACTAATTGTTGGTATGTTTATAACTGTGCAGAAAATTCACATTTAACCACCTACTTGTTTCTTCCAAGATAAGCTGCAAATTCAAGAGAAACAACAACACCCCATCCAAGACATGACCTGATTTATTCAGAGCAGCACCAACGGCACCCAAGTTTGTGCTCGTAAACACAACAGTAAATGAAGTATCTGCACTTTTCAGGCTTGCTACTGTGATGCTGTTTCACTTTTTATTTGGAGATGCACATGTTTTACCCTTTGCAATAAATGTTACAGCACAGGGCATAAGTAAATGTTTGCCTGTAGCTAGGGCCCTGTAAATCATATGATAAATTGCACACTTGCTTCATCAGCTCATGCCAGTAGAGGGGTGGAGCCAGGCCAGTGACCAGTCTTAAAGGTTGTGAGGCCTTTATAGATTACATGTAGGGACTGGAATATGCCCACTTCATCCTCAAAGGATTCACAAGCTGCTAACTGCTACAGTCTGTGTCGCTTTAGGTTACCCACTCTAATGTAGCACCATCCACTTCAGCAGAAAGAAGCAGGGGGCACAGTGAAATGTAGTCTCCCTCACAGGAAGCGCTTATCAAGGGCAGAGCAGACAACACATAATTCCACCGTGACCCAGTACGGGCCTAGAAGTAGCCACCCACAGTTAGTTTCACCTTTCATTGTTGAGAATGAGATCGTTAAGACACAGCATCAGCAAGCCTAAAGGTAAGGTGAATTACGAGGTGCACGGCCAGAGCCTGAGCTGGATCTGAAATTCCTCTGGGCCTGGATGTAAAAATGCAACAGGGGACGCATATGGAGCAGGGCTTTCAGCTTATTAGCCTGCTCCTGGCAGGATCGGCTAAACTCCCAGGTGAAAGCTTCATTCTCACATTCATTTCTCCAGTTAAAACAAAAAAGTTTCACACAGAGGTTTGTATGTAGAAAGCCAATGGCCTGATTTTCTCCAGTTTTGCCAAGCCAAACCATCTTTGCTTTAGTTATTATCTTTTTAGTATATATTTTTTAAGTGCTAGTTAGTTTTAGAGCTGGAGTGATAAATCGACCAGGCCAATATAATGGTGCGTATTAATACACACTGGCCAATAAATTACAGGAAAATGAAATATATTGAAATTGAAGTAAAGATATGCTTAGGATTCATTTTATTGGTGACAGTTGTTAAAAACAAATTTTAGGGTGCTTTATCTAAAATTATTTATCACTTCTGTGTAAAGAAAAGATAAATGGTTTTTCCCCCAAAGTCTCAAATATCATTATGAGCACTGGCTTCACAAATAATGCTATGGTTTGCTATGGTGGATCCCATAGCATTTAATTGTGATCACATTTTGGCAAGAAGAATACCATGATTTACTGTTCACACTAGCCTTTCAGAGGTACTGAAACAGGTACAAAGGCACTGGATGGCTGATAATTAAAATACTACTCTAAAACTGAAATAATGGTAATCTGAGGCAAACAAACCAGAAAAAAAACTTCTCTTTAAAATATAACCCAGAAATGGGAAATAAAGGTAACCTGAAGCAGAAAACCCCAGTCAGCATCAAGATATTACCCATAATAACATATGAATTTTACTGGTTGTAGCAGATCTTTGGAGATACTTTAACTGGAAGAGCAGGCTGGATGGTTATATAATCTTTAAAAATAACCTACAAAAATTATATAAAGGTAATGTGAGGCAGAAAACCATTTTCTGTATAAATATATTAACTTAAGTCTTTTTCTGGCAAGGTGAATACTGCATTCTACTGGTTGTACTGGCTTTTAAGAAGCACTTCAACTGGTACAAAGGCATGCACAGATATCTCTTTTTCAGACCAAGTACGAGTACAAATACTTAGATTCGAGTACTTGTCAATAACGATTATCGACTTAATAAAAATGCAATGTTTCAACCAAAAAAAATGACAAGTACCATAAAAATGCAATAACTTAGAGACAGTTTTCCTATTTATAAATACACTTTTGGATTGTGATTAAATAAAATATAAGGGGAAGCTGTACAAATTACCTTAAAACTTCTTGTGATAACAAACACTGCACCACTCCTATTTCCAGCCCTGTTCCTTTCTGCCATGTTCATTTACGCAAACAAATGCACACTGTGCCTGCACGCCTGTGCCTGGCTGCCTGTTGCTAGTTTTGGCTGATGCTGGAAATTAGTTTTTCAAACCGCGGTAATCAACCACAGGTTTAATGATGATTTCAATCTGATCATACTAACTGTGAGAAATTTTACCATGGTTTACCATGAAAGTAACTATTTCATCCTAGTTTTAAAATCGTTCTTATCTGATTTTCTCAATTTTTCTGGTCTTTTTATTTGAAATTTTAGCATAATCAAATTTGTGGCTCTTTTTAGGAGACAAGCTAATTTGAGACAATTATGTGATAGGCTATTAATCAATCTGAAAATGTGCTACTACTAAGGCAATTCCAGCTCAGTTTGAGAGATATTGGTGCAACTGGAGACAGTAAAAAGCAGCAGTATGACTTGTACTCCTTTGGAGATCTAAATCAACATGACTACATAACATCAAGTTCACCCTCAGGTCGGTTCTTCATTAAACATTCAATTACAACTGGCATAACATTTTTCATGCTGAGGGACCTTACATCTGATTTTCTACATTACCATAACATATTGCTCCATTTGGAGGTATCAGTGATTGCGTGAGAAGGACAATCAGCAAATATACATTATTCAAACCATGTATGAAGGTCAAAGGGCTCAGGTTATGCATAGGAGGTGAAAGCAATATTCTTATATCCTGATATACTGCTCTGCCCTGTCACATGGTGTTTGTTGCCTTGATCAATGACTCAAAATTTACTTTACTGAAAAACAAAATTAAAGCTAATCTACAATACGATAATATCCATCCATCCATCCATCCATTTATCAGGGACCAGGCAGCAGTCTAAGCAAAGATGCCCAGACTTCCCTCTCTCCAGACACTTCCTCCAGCTCC